TATGTTGTGGTGATATGGCACTGGCAAGACACAAGCAACACCTAGAACCTGTCCATCTTTACACCGAAGGGATCAATAAAGTTTTATTCTATTCTATTCTATTCTATTCTATTCTATTCTATTCTATTCTATTCTATTCTATTCTATTCATCCTACTAGAGAGGCAACCGAACTGCATCTTCCTACTTTTATGATTTTATTGTGTGTTTGTATATTTGTAGGTCAAACACTCTCTGTTTGTGTTTGATATGCAGCTGCTTCCTCCTTTACTTTGCTGCGTATCCATCAGTGGAGGCTGCAAGTGTTTGTTTACCAGCTAAAGGAAAAAGCTGAGTAACACATGAGTAATACATGTCACGATGTTTACGAGTTCTTCCATGAAGCTGAAATGCAAGATTTGTCATCTCATCACGTTTAATATTCAAAGCAGGATTAAGATGAACCAGTTCTTCCTCCGGAGCCTCTGCCCTGATCCCCTTGAGCAAGACAAACTTGTGTGTCTACCGGTAGGGTTTGCCAGGAGTAAAGGTGTGTTGCTCAATGAATGAAAGACAGGGTGGTGCTCGGAAACTGCACGATGATCAGGCGGCAGTCAAGCAGACACCTGGATGAAGCTGACGGTGTTGGGAGCAGCTGTCTTAAACAGTAATGCTGCTGTAGTTCAACCTTTCTCCTCGTTTGGAAACACAAAACGTTGTAAGGACACAAAATGCATATCTCTGTTCGATGCAAGTCTGGAAAATCTGGTCTCGCATCTTTGTTTCTATCAAAAATATTTTGGCAAATTTCATTACAAAAGATGTCACAAGTTGGTGATTATTAGATGCTGATATTTCTTGTGTACATGTGGCTACAGACATTAGTGGAAGAGGGGGGAAAATCTGCCAAAAATGTATCCTAATCAAGTTATTCACCTTTCAGATTGTGATAAACTGAATGGAAGTAAATGGGGAATTTGAATCTTGTTGTGGAAAATAAAGAGAACTTTGACTATGGACCCTGAATTCCCTGGTAATCTGGCCTGTAGCTGTTGACACATTTTGGAACTTGAATTTGGATCGAAGTACTGACAGACAGACAGATGGTCTTTTGTTTCTAAAGTCATCTTACTGTGTTTCATTTGGTCTCCAGAGCAACAGTTGTGTCTCAGTTGCAGTTATTTTGTACAAATCTCATTAGAGTTCCCATGTACTGCTGGTTATCTGCCCACTTATTTAGTAAAAACCTTTTAGAATAAACAGAATTTTCACCCGGATAAATAAAACTAATGGGTATGCTACCTACCTGAGCAGAAAGCATCTAAACACACTCAGCACCATACTTTGTGTTCAGATATTTTGCACATCTTGGCAGTCAGGCTAAAATTAGGATGCATGTGTAAACCTGCATCACTGCTGCTAAAAAGAAAAACAAGTGTGATTCCCTCCTCATGCTCCCTACAAGTCCTGCATATTCTGAACGTCAAGAAACAAAACATCCGTCCCACTAAAACAGTGATGGAGTGGGTTTTTTTAAAAATGCATTGTTGTAGATAAACAATGGTGCTTTTCTGTTGATAATGTCATGAGGATGTTTTCTAATGTTCACTTTACATAATCTGCTTTACATAACATGAAAGTGGTGTCAAAACATGATGGATGCTGTACATGAAAGTGAGGATGCTGTTGGTGTATTTCTCAGTCTTATCCCTTCTCTCAGCATGAGCTCCTGAATGAACTCAATGCCCCCATGATTCATCTCACCTGCTGTTTCTCTGACAAACACTGCCGCCCTGTGGCCAAACACTGCTGCTGCACCTCACAGCAAAGCCAAAAAAACAAGGGCGAAATCTTAAAAAAAACGGAAAAAGCATCTAAATTCATGTTGCCCAGCAACAGCGACACTGTGCAGACTATATAAAACACCTTCAGTGGCCAAGTGGTTGGAAACAGGGAGACGCTTGTGTTCTGATACAGACTGCAGTCTCATCTAGTGTGGAAATGAGCTCATCAACAGCCTTCTGCTCAGTGTTTCTTCCTCCCTGCACGGTGGGAGTTGGTTAGTGACATCCCTGTCAGGCGTGAAGAACTTGGAGCAGATGTAAGAGGCTGATTCTCTCTTTGACTCTAAATGGGCTGCACCTCATGGATAAAACACAAACCATGCAACTGCAACAGCTGCGACTGCTGCTGTTTGGATCCTTGTTGGTTCTCATATCTCCTGCATGCACTTCCACATATAACATAAAATAGAGGAAATATCCAACCATTGTCACATCACACATGCATCACTCTTTTCCTAAATCGTCCATGTTTATCTGACACTTTCAAAGAAATCAACCAAACCTCCCTCTTAAACATAACATGGAAAACCAGGCACACAGGACTTTATGTGTTTTTTCTTTATTTGCAATAAAAAATAGGTATAAGAGCTCCCTTTACAAATATACCAGGGAAATGCAGAACGTGAACACTGCCCCCGTGTGGAGAGCGACAGACTGCAGTGGAGTCAAAAACATTTGGAAGGACAGAATTTTTTTACAGAGAAATGACGCATTTACACGCACGCCAATAATGCAATTATCATCAGTGTTGGGAGAACAGCTGAACCAGCTCAAAGTCGAGCATGAAGGGACGTAGAGCGCTCTTCACTCTGGAGAGTAACTTCAGCTTGTAAACACTTAATTTCATTTTAGAATTTGTAGTGATGGTTAAACTTATGCCATTATTATTATTATTGCATTGTACTGCTGCTTATGACTACTTTCAGATACGTAGGGTACAGTGATATTTCTTGTAAACAACCACTGTTTTACATTCACAGTCTCACCAAAAAATAGTTATTAAAAAAAAGACTTGCAAAAGTGATGCTCTGAATATTTTGAAATCAAATCTTCTTTTTTCATGGCATGTTACTCCCAGTTATTTATTGTTGGTAAAAACCTTAACTGAACCATCACTGTGCTCCTCACTCACAAAACAAACTAAATTAAGACACATTGCTTTAGAAAATAATAAAAAAAAAAAGTTCCTACAGTGCTACTTAAAATTCCACATGGTACTGTTAATCCAAAAGGATATAAATTTGGTTTATGGGGCCATTATTATGCAATGGTTTCAAGATATTTCAAATCAACAGCTTGTTACGCAGCAGTAAAAGTGGGGCAGGAGCTTCTGCAAATGTCTTATGAGAAAGGGAAACTGTTCAACACATTTATCAGGCCTCAAGGATACACACCAAGTGTTTCAGTGAGAATAATGTAATATAAACATATGGAATTGTTTACAAGAAAACTCGGTAGAGCAACTTTAAGCATGGGAATTGCATTACAGTGTGCATGTAAAGGGAAAGGGATAGAGAGAAAGAGAAAGAGAGAAAGGTTGAAACGTTTAATTAAAACATTAAAAAGGCCTCAGAGTTACATTGATATACATATAAATCACCCAAATTAAGATTTCACCATACACATACACCTAAGGGCATAGCAGAAAGAGAGAAACAAATGAACATACACAATCAACCCCTAAAACTAAGTCTGTATTTGAAGTCCCAGAGATATGCTACAATAGGACATCAAAGATCCGGATCAGCGATATCTGAGAGGATGCATTTGCATTTTTTTTTTTCCTAAGTCAGAACTTAAGTGATAGCCCGGCTTCTGTTTAATATAGATTTCTAATTCGAATCTCATTTCCAAACAAGTGGAGCATGTTGTCCTAGAGTTGTCATTGTTCTCATACGTTGTAGTCTGTAGGTTTTTAGTGTTAGAATGGGCAAAACAACAACCTCAACACAAGGACACTCATTACTTTCTCTCAGACAATCTAAAGCAGCGGTCCCCAACCCCTGGGCCGCAGACCGGTACCGGGCCGCACAGAAAGAATGAAAACATTTTATTTTTCTATTTCATTTCCGGCGGAGTTTGCAGGGTGTTTTATTTTGAAAAATGACTAGCGTGTCACTTCCCCCTGTCCTTGTTTCCCTTGACTGTCATTTTCATTTTGCACTAATGTACATATACCTTTGCTACTGGATGTGTAAATTCTTGTATATATTTGTCTTGTTATCTTGTTTATTTTTTTTATTAATATTTATTGTATTTTGTTCTTTTTCTTCTGTAGTTATTTTATTTAATTTTTTTAATTTTCCTATTTCCATTATTCGTGTAAATTCCTAGGGCGACACCAACAGCCGTAACCAAATTCCTTGTATGTTGTGTACGTACTTGGCCATTAAAGCTGATTCTGATTCTGTCAGTTTTCATGCCGGGCTGTTAATCAGAGCTGTCAGTCTACCTGCTGCCCAAATGAATAAAAAACAAACGTCTCTGGAGAGCTTCTTTGAAAAGCGGGAGAGACTCAATATTGAGACAGAAGGATACATATTTACTAATAAAAAGTCATTTATTTCTGACACTTTTTTAATAGGAAAAAAAAGATTATTCTTTGTTGTGTGCGTGATGATCGGTCCGTAGAAAACTGTCTTGCTTGAAACCGGTTAGTTATGCAAAAAAAGGTTGGGGACCGCTGATCTAAGGTACATGACCTCCGCCACGGCAGCAGACAGAGAGCTGCAGGTTTTCTCACATGAATTTCGGCTCAGTTAGGAAGATTAAAAGTGATCGAACTAGTGCACAAACAGGAACCTGATCTCATGTGCACCTCACGGACAGATTCTGTAATCGTTGTAATTACAGAAGGGGGGAAAAGATAAGAAAATATCCACATACTTCAGCCAGGCCAGTACATTCACTTGTGTGTTGTCATCATGCCAAGTGTTGCCGTTTTTGCTTCATATTTCAGTGGGTGAGTTTTTGTTTTCACTCCGTACCTGGACGGACAGAATGTAAGAGGCCACGCACAGCTCTGTGGCCGGCCGGCTCCTGTTAAACACTGTTTAGTGTATGTATGAAAAATGAAATCCTCTTGAACCTGATCCATTGCTGCTCATGCTCCTTTTGTGATATCAGGTTTTTGTTCCTTCATAGCAAAGAGTCAGACGAAAACACCCCAAACTGACCCTAACGAAAGCGTCCCAGCTCGGCATGACTGGTTTTACTTCAAATTCGACTGGGAGCACGAGGTGAGCGGTCACTCTTTCAGAGATTAGATTCAATTCATTCAGAGATTATTCATTCAGTGATGATGGTGCTGGTGGAGGGGGTGGAGGGGGTGGGGTTCTGGATGAACACTCAGAGGAGAGGAATGCCCCTCATGCCTCCATCCCGACCCACCTGACGCTCCCAACAGAACTGACATGTGCTCGAGAAAGGCTGCATGATGCAGGAAGGAGTTCATGAGCATCTGAGAGCGAACTGATGTAGGAGATGAATGAAGGAACGAGCAAACACATGTATAAATTAATGAATGAACCCGTCAAAGAGTGACCAGCTGACAAAATGAATGATTGAACAAATGAATGAACTAATTTCTGAAGTGCATAGACGCCAGAGCGGTTCTCCCGAGCAGAAGGTTTATCACCGTGGCCTCTTGCGAGTGACGAAGATGAGGACCCTTCGGATGGCAATGAGGCGGTCCTTGAGGGAGGTCATGGCCAGGATGGTGAGCTGGGCTCGATTCTCCAGTGGAAGGACAGCGAGCAGCCACCAGCACCAGGCTGGACCACTGGGACTGGCCTGCAGAGGAACAAAACAGGTCTTTAAATTGTGAAAACATGACATATTTATCTCTGTGCATTATGAAGTCGTCACTGCTTACAAGAATAGAAACATCCTTCTAATACATCAGATTTCTGTTGCTCTGAATGCCTGACCGAGCTTGGTTTTTACTTTATTGGCTTTATATTTGTGGCTACCTGGTGGTTAGGACACCACAGGAGCTGCAAGACGATTACTGGAGAAGGAAATAATTAAAAAAGGTTTATTTCCATTTATATGGATGGAAAATCCCTCTTCGGTTGAACTGCTCACAACTAACAGACACATCCTGTGACAAGAGGTCCAATATATTCATTTTCTTGTATCAAGGGGTCACTACAACAGGTTCAGACCTTCTTGTTTAGGAGTTTAGGTAGAAACCAGTCAGATATCTAAGCTACTTGGGACTGTATTTCACAATGTTTATCAGAGATTACAGAGGTCCCCGAATCAAACTATTTTTAATAATGAAAATTAGATAGCTTAGGTAGAAGTTTGTGGAGAGCACTTTTCTCTATTTCCTGTTTATCGCTCCACCCTACAAGTCTGCAAGTTTGCTGTCTATCTGGATAAGTGCATTTGAGATGTATCTCATCACAGACAGGACTGAAACTAATCTAAATTTGATGTCTTATACAACATAATCTTTCACCTGAAGGCTGCAATTAGTGTTTCAAAGCACTTTTAGGTGACAGGAATTGCCATCTTGTTTCATAATGTTTGTCCCTAAATCTGTAGATATTGGCATTGAAAAATAAAAATCTGTAAAAGTATTTAACACGGGTGTTTTCTGACCTGTGGGTCCGGGTCTTTGCTGGGAAGATTCCCAAAGTGGCTGAGTATCTGACTCTTCATGTTGTCTTTCAGGGAGGTGAACCAGCTGTTGGCCTGCTCATACACAGAGTCATGCAGCTTCTGAAGCTCCACCAGCTCCTCCCCTTCCACCTGGTGACAGAGACAGAGACAGATTTTAATTCAGCTTTGTAAAAAAAAAAATAATAATACAAAAACAGATTAAATGAGAGATTGCATAGCTTGTATAATTTCTGTGTACAAAAACTTCCACTTGACTGACAAGGGCTTATTTAAATACACTGTTATAAACACCAGCAGTGTTGTTTTCCCTGTGGCAGGACTGAATTTGCTCGTGGCACAGAGGAGGGAAAGTAGGCCTGCTGTTCTTTCCACTGCTTAACAGCCACGGGCAAAAAAATAAAATAAATCAGCTCTGTGTGACATTTGCTTGACAGCAGCATGATGGAAAGTGTCTGAAATGACATCCTCTGACAGACAACACACTCGCACATCCTTCCTCATAGCTCACCTTCTTGTCTTCCAGGTACTCTATCTTAGCGGTGTTGTAGCCATCTCTCTGGCCATGACTGAGAACTTTGAACCGAGACACACCGATAGTGTCGACCACCGAACGACCGTCGGGAAAGAACTTCACATCTCGCACCTGAAACACATTTAAAATCATATTTACAATGATGGAATCTCTGTTATTTGAATGAGAATGAGATGAGAAAACCTCTCTGAAAACACACTCACCTGCAGCATGCAGCCATAGTCTGCAAACCCTTTGAGCTCATCAGCTATGCACATGCCGAACTGCTTGGTACCGGTTTCCATCGAGCGGCGAATCATGAGACGGTAGCGTGGCTCGAATACGTGCAGCGGGCAGGGGATGGTGGGGAAGGCCATGGTGCACACAAAGATGGGCACTTCCTGGTTCAAGCTACAAGACACGCAGTGAGGACATTGTTGTTAGTGTTGTTCTGTGTCTAAAATGTCAGTAAGTGATGACATTTTTAAGACTTCTTAAAACAATTTGTGTCTGTGTGTGTGTATAAAACTAACTTGGACAGCTCCTTCATCTCCTCTTCATGGATTTTCTTCCTCTCTGCCAGCTCGTCTCCTAGGTAACGCTGCAGGACTTCCTCCATCAGCAGGGTTTTGTTGTAACCTCTGGTGGCTAGATACTGTGACGGCAACACACAAACACCATTAGTATGCTACGTATTACATATTAGGGATACAAATAACTGTTTTTATCATCATTTAGTCTGTCAAGATTTCTAATGTTTCACCTAATAGTTTAATAAAACACAGTTAAAGACAGTCAGACTGATTTAATCCAATCAGCAGTCCATAATTCCTAAAAATATTACATTATACAACGACATAAAAACAGAACAGCAAAAGCTCACATTATAGCAGCTGGAATCAGAAGGTGTTGGTGTTCATGTGGATAAATTGTGTAGATTCTCAGCCATCCACGTCATGTTAATCAGAGTTCAGTAGGAATTAACTGGACTTCTCCTTTAGGTTCTTGAACCTTCCACCCAACAGGCTTCTTCAGCTCTAACTGACTAATGGGGAGTTACAGAATTCCCAGTCCCTCCAGCTCACATGGCTAACAACGTTAACGTGTTCAGCCAGTCCTGAAATGGCAGATTCATATCTTTGTTGTGTAAACTGGCAGCTCCATTAGCATGAATGCTGTCGTTGTTGGTGGACCACCTGGTTTCACAACAATTCACATCTTGAGTCATGTGAGTCCTGGGTTGTTAATGGACCATCAGCCATGTGAGCTGGAGTGACTTAAACTCTGAAACTCCTCATTAGAACTGAAGAAGCCTATTAGATAAGAGGTGAAACATCTTCAAGAACCTACAAGGGAAGTCCAGTTGACTTCTGCTGAAGCTCCGATGATAACTTTAACCAGTGCTTCAATTAAACCACAAAGTCGTCACACTGACCGCTAACCTTTTATAAAGAGGTGAAATCTTGTTTTGAACAATGTATAATTGCATATTTGACTGAATAAAATATGGATGTGTACCTCAGAAAGATTCTCTTTGCACAGAGGGCAGTTGGGGTTGTGGTCCAGGCAGCGCTCCAGGCATTTGAGGCAGAAGGTGTGTCCGCAGGGCGTGGCCACGGGCTCATAGAACAATCTGGAAAAACAACCGAAAAAACACAACCCAATGTTATCACAGTGCACCTGCTGACACGGGCTATACATAATATGGATGTATGTATGGCATACCGATACTAATAATGCAACTGTAGTGATTCAACAAGTAGAGTGTTAAATACATTTTTGCTCCTAATTGCCGTCGTAATTGTAATTGCAGTTACTGTGTGTTTGCCAGAAAAACTGGACTGTGTGCAGTCACCTCATGCAGAGTGAACACTCCATGTCTCCGCTGTCCAACAGCTCAGCAGGAACCATCCTTCCTCCCCATACTGCAGCCGTCTTAAAGGTGCTCGCCTCATCTGCATGAAAAGTCATCACATCAGCTGACAGTGTGGTCTAGAGTGCAGCACATGTGGTCATTTTCAGACCATGGTTCCTGTTTAACTCATTGCCACAAGAAGTGTCTTATCCTCTGTCTCTACACACATGGAAGTTGTGTATTATATGGTTGATTTTTTTGCACTGTTGGCAAAAATTAGGCTTAAAATGTATGTATTGTTTCTAATATTTCAGTTTAATCATACTGTCAACATAATATCAAGTTCATACAGTCGTCATTTTACAATTGTTATTGACATAACAATGTGACACAGCACTTTTTTTTAGTCCACCTTGATAAGGGACCAACACAAAGTAAGTGTGTAATAACTGCTTCGGCCTTCAAGTGTCGTGCTGCGTCATCCTGTGTTCTACTTCTGTGGACTGAACTAGTTTCTATCCTGAATGACACAGCACATTTCCATGAGTGTAATGATACCATTATTACTCAGCGAAGAAGGTCATTCCTTGTACTACTGGTTCCATTTATTTTTGCGTGATCTCACAAAATGACTATGTCACACCTGCTTGCATTCACTGGACCACTGCTAAAGGTTGTCTACATCATTTAAATATATATTAAGGCTTAATATATTAAGTAATAATGATATATAATATACATTAATAATTAAGCTGATGGGATAGGAGCTGCACGCATCCATCGATACGTGAAACAACCTTAGTTACAACTAACTGAACAATGTAAAGTGAATGATATTTAGTGACGGACGACTTCTATGTATGAGTAATTGTATTTTAAATAAAACCCAGACTTTTCGTACCAGGTTTGAGAAGTTTGGAAGGAGGGTTGAAGACTTCTGAAGCTCCATCGCTGCTGTGTTTCCTCTTAAGGCCACCGGGGGGTGCTGGCAGTGCAGCTAAAACATCGGCCAGGCTCTTGGTGCTGCCCTCCCCTGAACCGGGTTCCGATTTACCAGGAGATATGATAGGTAGTATCGAGGATGAGTCGTCCACTGGAGCACTTTTAGTCACACTGAACTCTGAGTCCTGGACACATAGATAAACAGATTGTTAGCATGTCAGGAGGAGGAGGGGATTTCAAAGACAGTTCTGACATTATTTATTAAGCATGTTGAAAGGACATACACAGTAGTCTGAACTGAACAAAGGTGTAGCCCAGCGGACTTTTTCTGCATCCAAAACAGAATATAAGTTTATTTATCTGTCCCTATTAAAGTCATTTCGTCAGCTCTGAACTGTGAGGAAAGTAATTTAATGTTCTTAGAATTGAATGCTACCACAGCAGCTGTTCCAGTAGTTTCTGTATTGGCCAAATCTGCTGAGATTAAGTGTGTTTCCATGTGTCATGATACAATCAACCACCCTGATAACAATCAGCTTACATAAAAGGCACCCGCGTCTCAAACGAGCTGACATTATATTTGCGTAACGCCATGTTTGCAATGATCCTCCTAATTAAACAAATGATATGCTCTCCAATGTCCCTCTGTGGCACTTAAGTGTTTTCAGATCACGGCTGATAAGACTTAGAATACCTCCAAATATACAAGCAGGTAAAGCAGTAGAAATCCTCAAATACCACTTGTCCTACAACTTGCGTAACTGACTTCACTAAGATGCCAAAAATGTTAGAAATAAAATATTTGTTAAATTAAACACATGAGGTGGGAGAAAAAAAAAAGAACCTTCATGAAAAAAATGTACATTAGTGTATTAACAGTTCCTTAAACAAATTAGAAAATGTGCTTCTCACAGATGTTTTCATGAGTGGGTGTACTGTGCTTGTTGGTGTGCAGTAACCTGTGAGGAGGAGCCTGGTTTCTGTGTGAGCGGCCTCAGGGACCTGAGCAAGGCAGGCGGTTTGATGAGACGGGTGGCCAACCCTCCCTGCAGAGGGTGCAGCGGTGTTGGCAGGTCCTCATTCTCAAAGACGGAGGAGAAGAGCTCGCTAAGGACCTGAGGGAAGAAACAAAACACTTGATTAAAGCCCGCAATCCACAGACAGATAATTAGCAGCAATCAGGATAATTTGTTTCCTTCCTGTATTCTGTGTAAAATTGATAACTGTTGTGAGATCTCCACACACCCGACTGTGTTCTTCATCAAGATTCAAATCTGAAAATTACTTTTTTTTTTCCTTTATTCCTGAAATCATTATTATAGATTTAATTATAGATTTTTTTCCCCACTATTTTTTTTGGTTTTACATCAAAATATATTGGACAAAATAAAAGTGGGTGACATAACAACTGCAAGACAATCATCACATTCTTCTATGCCATTTATACAAAGTTATCGCTCCTTTTAATACCTCTAAGAAAAAATGTAAATATGTCATTGTGGGACATACTGCTTCATGACAGCATGAGATTTACAGGATCGTTTGGTATCTAAAGCATTTAATTTTCCTAAACTCACCAAATATAGACACTTCTGCTGGTTCTTCTTGATAAAAACAAAGTCTCTCCTCATCTGACTTTCCAGACTACTAATGATGAAACTGTTTTTGCACATTTTATGCTAAATGGGGCATTTTTCTACACTCAGTTTATCTTCAGTTGCCGCTTAATGAGCTGACTCTGTCTTGCAAGGACAGCAACACACTGTAACATACCAGCTACTCACAACTGTGTGGCAGACAGGTTGACACCAATTCACAACCTGATTCATGTAACACTGCAGTGCGACATAACAACACACGTGACCTCAATATGTAAATAGCCCAGGAGAGGTTAAAAGAACTGGGGAAAAAAAAAACATTTACAAAGCTTTAACACTGCAGTATGAGACAGCACTTATACTTTACATAAATTATTGATTTTAATCTGACTATTTATGATGGGTATTTTTCACTGTTCAGGATTTCTGTTAAAACTGGAGCCGTGTAACAGTGGGCGTAAGCAAAATAATAATGCTGTAAACACTGACGCCGGTCTCACAAACTTAACATCTAACTGAAAATGGATTTTCAACATAACTTTTCACATAACTGTAATGTTTTTTTTCCAGGTTTTGTGAGAAAACGAGACATTTCATGCACACAAAAGACCCTCTCTTACCTTCTGAGCCTCCAGTTTCACTTTGGTCCAGTCGGGCTTTAACGCCACACATAGGAAGTACTCCTGCAAGGCCTCGTCGTTCCGGCCTACTTTACTCAGTGCCGTAGCTTTCAGACAGTGAGCCTAAAAACAAGCAAGAATTACATGATTCGGTATGCAACAAATGAATCCTCAATGTTGCCAAATGTTCTTCTAAACAGGTGTTTTTATGGGATGTGTGGCGATGGATCAGCATCTCTATTACTGCATTGTCAACAACACCTTTACGCCAAATGTTCCTTCTTTAGAAACATTCTTTGCTATAAATATATAATTATCGAGTTACATAAAAAAAAACCCTACTGTTTCCAAGTGATAGGCACATTTGAAGAAGTTTAGCCACACAATGTTTGTAGAGCAAAATTGGCAAAATGAGAACAAATTGGCAAAACAGAGCAAGTGTCCCAAAAACATTTGAAACCAACACATACATTAGACTTTGGTACTTACTATCTTCACTACTAATCCAAGAGCTTTATTTTATTCTGGCTCAGACATTTTCTTTTGTGTTGCAGATTAATTTCGAGGTCTCACCTTTGTCCACAGAGGTTTTAGTTTACAGAGGCTGCTGGCATCCTGCACAGCCTGGCTGAAACTCCTCATCTCCATGTGCAACTCAGCCCGCTGATGCAGAAGTCTGCCTGAAGAGGGCACTGTAGACCACAAGAAAAAGAAAAACACACCACCATGAGTGGACAGGCCTCCAGGGGATGGACTCGTTTTTCTAGGTCTGCCAGAAGTAGGACAGTAATGTAACATGTGGCATGAGACCAGTTTCACATGTTATAATGCTTGTAGCTTATGTAGTGACTCTAAAACGTCTCACGTTAGTCATTCCAGTAGACAATTACCAGTAGTTTCCTTTACTTTCAGTGCATGGCCACATTAACTACAGGCTTTATTAATCATCATATGAAGTACTTTACTTTACATGTTTCTCAATGTCATTGTTAGGTTCTTCCTAAATAATCAAGATATTCCTGCTTGATGAGTATTTTAGACACTTTGATGTTTTAATTTCATGCTGCTGTTCATTTTGCATGAGACAGCATCCGTTTAGTCACCGACTGATGGTTGAATTTGTTAGAAACTCTGTCTAGGTCGTCTTTGAAAATGAAACCCATCTGATAGTTAATTTGGTAAACAAAACTCATTTTTAAGAAACAAACAAGATCATGGAAGAAGATAAAAAAAAAAGCTGCACAAAGTTCTGCAGAAGTTAGATACCATCATGTCCACATTTGAGAATGTGTTAACATCGTCTTCTAGTCAGACTAAATGTGTCCACACAACCGTGACAATGTTCCGAGACCGAATCGAACACACCAACAGTGTTTCTACTGTTTCCTTGCAGTTCAACAAGTTGCTGACCTTTAGCAATTTACCGACAAAAATTGTTTTTGGCCTTCGCCTTTGGCAATTTGTGGGTAGAACTTTGGATTCTGAGCCCACTGGGTAGTTATTTGAGAAACCATTTCCCACAGGCTGGATGTCTCATATTCCTAGAAGCTGAACAGAAGGTGAAGAGGCTGGCTGGCTGAGTCAGCCAAGACATGAGCGCAATCACCAACAAGCAGGACCAACAGAAAATATTTATATGTCCCCAAAACACTGTGCTGTAACAGACGATTTGTGAAACTTGCGTCAATAACCAGGAGAGTAGTTGGTCTAATATGTAAAGTTTAGTTAAGTCAACATCTGATTTTGCTTGTTTGGTATGTTTTATTAGTATTAGTTTACTGGGATATAATGGTATGAAAAATTAAGCTTGGTGTGCACATGTAGTTCTGTTTTGGAGTCACGGTTTGGTACATGTATAAAAATAACATTATTTGTAAGTATCATCTTAAGCCTGGCAGATTTTCTCAACACGTTCATAATCAAATTACCTATTTCAGCCCATTTTTGGCTTTAGAACCACAAAGTAAAATTTCTTTCTTTTTGTTAAGAACAGAGCAAATCTCATTTGAATAAGGGAACTGAACAAAACTGACCAAGACCAAGAGGAGTGTATAGTCATTGCACTGACGTGTACAGTGAGAGCAAAAATATCTCTGGCTTTGCAAAAAGTCCATTAAAACATATAGTGTGAGTTGACACATCACACACGGTTAATAACAATCCCAATGTTTGCTCAACCTTTAAGGCCAACCCCTATTATCACACTGTAGCGTGGAGACAACTGCTGCACTGCTAAAACCATCTAGGTGGAAGTCGTGTTCTAAAGTTTTCATTCCCGGAGCGTGATCACGTAGACATAACCACACATTAAACAGTTACAGGATGTACTGAACACAAGTCCCATACCAAACCACACCTCCTGTATCAAACAAATCAGGACAAAAACATGTACTGTTACACCCCTATCATCTTAGAAATAAATACACGAATGAAGAGAAGCAAAGAAGCTTTTTGCACACTGAACTTTGTAGCCACAGATATGCAATTAAAATCCATGGCCTGTCTAGACCTGAAGTATGGGATTTAAACCTTTAGATAAGTCTGGCAGTTGCAGTGTTTTAATTTAGGGCTACAAGACGTTTTTTAACAGCTGGTAAAAGGCCAATGAATTACAACGCATAAAATATGTGGAAAGTATTAAGGTTTGTTTGTCCTACACATTTGGGGCCATCTTTTCTGGAGACAGCCCAGAAGTCTTGAGATGTTGAAGTGTTAGAAAGCCTGTACTTTTATGCAATGAACCTGGTTGATGTAAAATATACTTGTGCTGCCTGTCCACATATGTTTAGATGACATACCTGACAACCAATACAATCACTGTTGTTACTAAAGAAATCTGAAACCCACCTGTGTATTCGCTGGAGCTCAGAGACTCCATTTTTATCTTCTATTGCTGGTTGAGTCAACCTTTCTGAATGCTCCCATGATATTCAGAAAAATATTAAAAATATCTCAGAGACATAATACTGCCTTGTCTACTAGATATCCCTGTGGTGCCGCAGCTAGATGAAAAAGGGTTGTATTCCTCCCTGCACATTTGCCTGATTGTTTTGCTTGGTTTACTGCATTTTGACACTGCAGCAGTACAAACATGTTTGTTATAATGTATTGCCACCATTCACAGGAGTGGGAAAGTTTCAGATATTCATGAAAACTTACTTTAGTACACAGTAATCTGTTAGAGGATAATGTAAGTTATTAAATTGTAAGTTGATTAAAAAAAAAACAAAAAAAAACCTTCCACACAAAAAATTACTGTGAAGAAGATTTTGATGTCGCAATCTGTTTTTTTTTTAACAGCTGAGGCTCAGATCTATGATCTAATCTCAAAACTAAAAGGGCGAGCAAATCCGAACAAGAAATTGTTGTTCAGGTGTGTCCCAGGAATGTCTGCTGTACCAAACAGGTACACCGGGATGGGAGGTCTGATCTGTTCAATTAGGGACATGTGACTCACTGAAGCAAGAACAAAACTGGGGAGGAAATATCATTTCACGGATTGTATTCACTGCACGACTGTAACAAAACATTGGGTCAGCTATGATGGAAAGGGATAATATGAAGCTTATCTAGCTGAATGTGCTTCAACAGAGACACTGCATGACATACGTCATCCTTACAACTTCTCACCACAGAAAGAGGCAAGGACGGTGAAAGAAAAAGTGAAAACCCAAAAAGAGCAGTTACAAAACAGGGTAATGGGATCTCACTGTGTAGTTAATTGAGGCTTTGCTTTAATTTTCTCCTACCTGAAAAGAAATTTGTTGGGTAATTTTTGAGTTTGGGGTTTACTGGACTATTTATTTAATCCTGTGAATTCTCTGTTTTTGTGCGGCAACTATTTACCAAAAACTTAGACTGTGACTTGTGCATTGCACAATGTAGTTCCTGACACTCAACACGTATCAGAACACGAGGCAGATTACCATCATAGAAGAAAATTCCCTAAAAAGGCACAGTTCAGATAAGAGCTGCGTTTCTGCTGACGTTATGAATCCATTACACTCATCCTACATCACAGATACCAGAAGGCCTCCTGCTGTCTTTGTTGGGAAAACACTGACTGGCAGTGGCAAAGCTGTGAGAGCACTCTGTCCTCCCGTCACCCAGAGTCACTCACGAGACAGAAGGCATGAATCAATATTGATCTGGGGAGAGAAATATCTGAAATGTTGCCACTGGGATGCCAGGGGATATTCCTTCCCTTAGCCTAAAGCTCCAATTGATCGATTTCTTACAGCGAAGTGAGTGTGAACATGTGAGATATCCAGTGCTGTGACAGAAACTGAATTTTAATGTGACTCCAATATGTAGGCCAGATGTGGGAGGGGGGGGTCCAGTTCAACTTTCTCTGAGGACTGAAAACGTGCAACATGAGACGTGCCCTGGTGCACGATTAATGAAGCACACTGGCACTCTTTATGTAACGTGCCAGCATAACAGAACATTCTGTATTTTGGCTCTGCAGGTCGAGGAAAACTGATGCTCAAAATGAGGATGATGCTAAAGATGAAGCAAATTGTCGCCGGTCTGGTCTGGGATCATTACTTTTCCCCTAAATGTTATCCAACACAGCTTATGAAACACCCACCAGTGAGGGGAGGAGTAAGAATGTTGTTCTACCCAGTGTGTCACCACTAGGCACTGAGACCTGGGCAAGTAAATTCAATGTTTTCCTCAAGAAATGGAGATAAAATAACAGTGGAATAAGTAAAATGTGTAGAAAATTACACACGCATCATTTGTCCTATGCAGCATTATGAAATCATCACAGCACTGTAAAGTATAAATAGAAATCAGGCTGTGAATGTGGCACTGGGAAGCAGAAGTTCGGATGTGTGCTACTTAGGTAATGAAGGACAGTGCGTCATATAACGCAGGACTTGGGTGCAATCTAGATGGGTGGGAGTGGCGCCACTTATCGGTGACACCGGGAACTTACACTGCAAAAAGTAGGTCATTTGCACCAAACACCACTGTTTTAATTGCAGTCTGTCACGTTGAACACAGACTAGGGTACATAAATTATTTCACATATGGAGGCTGCGTGATCTTACCTAAATCCACGGCTGCATTGTACTTCTCCAAGGCATCCGACAGGTTTTGTTTCCTCCACAGATCCTCTCCTTCGATCCAGTATTTCCTGGCTCTGCTCTCAGTTGCAAACAGTTTATCCAACAGGCCGCTGAGAACAACATTTAGTCTTAGGCCTTGGGGCAGTTTCTCTTTTTTGCTCAGCTTTTGTTTGCAGTGTATACAATCTTTGACAGAGTCGTCCTCTAAGCAGCGTTTGCAGAAAGTGTGTCCACACTCCACTGTTGTGGGCTCATAGATCAGACACTTGCAGAGGCGACATGAAAACAAGTCCAGGGCTTCATCCTCCTCACACTCCCCATTTATTTGAATCCCATCTTCCCCGTTGCTGCTGCTTTTGCCGTTTACAGTCACAGGGATGCCCAGCTCTTTCTCACGCAGAGTCCGGGCGATGTTTTCCACCAGGAGGGGAAGCTCCTCCGGCCGCAGTTTGCCGATGCTGGCCGCTGTGCAGTACGAATCCAGCGCCTCGGATATGCGTCCGGCGCGGGCGAGAGAGTCGGCCTTTCGTAGACACAAACCCCGGTCCGGTTGTTGTAGATCTGAGAGTTGAGAACTGTAGATCTCCACGGCCAAGTTGAAGTCTCCGGCCCGGTTGGCTTCCTCCGCCACCTCCAACATTTCGGGGCAGATGCCCGCAGCTCCGGGGTTGGAGAGCGGGTGGACGAACAGCTCGCCCTGGTGGGACCTCACACCCGTCTCCATCTTCTTGTCCCGGCAGGAAAACCCAACACTTGTGATGACTAAAGAGTTCAACAGTCTGGCGAAAGCAGACAAATCTCCCCACAGTCAGAAATCATATCTCTAAAGTATTGCTAACTATATTTGAAAGTCTTAATGTCAAACCAGACCTCTGATCGCCGCGCAGTGATGGCCATTGGAAGTAGGTTAGGACCTACACGGATCCAAACCCGACAAAACAGGACGTTTGTGTAACATTGCTAGTCCGCGATGTGTCACACAAACAGTCAACGGCGATCTATCCGGCAATAAAGTTGCATGTGATGTTATTTCCTTGCAAACACCGACTCTTATCTTCCCTAAGGTTGAAAGTCGGCGTTGTTTACTAACTCTACACACGGCTGGTCAAGAGTCCTCCCTCCCCATTTTTACAGCCAGGAAATAGTCTGACAATCGCGTAAAAACACAAACTTACTCTGAAATCATAAGAAAAAGACACTACGGCATGTTGTTGAGTCGTGCGCTACTCGGTGGAATCTTTCGAGCTTAGCAAGTAAGAAGCTTAACTTGCATTTCGTGCTAACTCCTTGTTAAATTAGTATATAAACTCATCAGATGCCAAGTTCAGGGTGAAAAATAGTCAACAGCTCACGGTTAAATGAGATGTGGCTCACTCAAGAGCCCACATGGTCGCTTTTGCTCCGGGAACCCGCAGCTGATCGTCTGTTGTTTTTATGTAAGAGACCCCGGGAGCACCGAAGCCGAGAGAGCTAGCTAGGTTGGTGAGCTAACTCCGCTAGCCGCTCCGTTGAACTCCACACAAACGAACTCTTTCCGACCCGGTATTCCAAAAGCCGTATACTTAAGCGAATCTGGATGTTAAGTCTATCGATTAACACGCGAGAAAATCCCAATAAAAATGCGACAGCCGCCGAGGGACCCCATCTTGGTTGTTAGCCAGCTAGCTCCAGCAGCTAAAGGTTGTTCCTTCTTTGGGATTTCATATACAATTCGCCGGAGCGAGCGCAGGGCGACACGTGACACACGAGGCGGGCTCCTATTGGCTGTTAATGTGGCTCACTTATATAACGCACTGATATTGTATAACCTTTCACAGACAACAGTCCAGGCTGAAAGCTCCACCAAAAACTAGTTAGCAGTGATTCATTTTAACGAGGTTTCTTGCATTATATATCAGAAACACATCCACAGGTAAAATAGAAGAGATCAGTGCATTTGGTTGGAGTTGCATTTCCCTTTTCTGTGTCTCTGCTTAACTCGCAGCCCCTGTTATGGAATTGATTCATTGTTTTATGTAATGCTTTATATAAGCAGTGTCTCAGGTCTGCTTTTGGAGTTAAAATGCTGACAACATATCCTGATTCTCTGTTTCAGCCAGAATAAAATAAAGCCTGTCCTCAGACCTCTTCTTTTGAATAGATTTATAAATAATAAAAAAAACAAACTACATAAAATTGTGATGCCAATTAAATAAACAGAAGAGTTTTGACCTAATTTAACAAACTGGGAATCCACACAAAAGTTGATTTTTTCAGGGGAACAGCATAGAGCCACCACCTAACAAGATCCCCTATCTGCAACAATGTTTAAATATAATAAACAGGCAATATGATTTTTTAATTATTCTTATATGTAACCAGAAATATAAGGGTGAAAAAAACAAGGCAAATGATTCCCAGTTTAAAAATAGGTGAGAATCCAAATGAGGTCTTGCATCTGAGTTTGCTTGGGGCTTCCAAAATGAAGAATCCACCCCCTCTGCTCCACCTACCACAATGAAGCGGCCTAGTTGGAGGACCTGTGTCCCAGTTACCTCCAGTAAACAAAATGCAGCATGCCTAATTTGCCTAATTTTGGAGGGGGTTGTGAATACACCTTCCAAGTGAAGACACCGTGTAGCTGCAGGAGCTAATACCTCCAGGATCAAGTGAGATGATCCATAAATAAATAAATCAAACGTTTGTAAATGTTCAATTGAGGATGTGTGAGTGATTTTAATGCATGTCTTGTTTAATCTTGTATTCATATCTTGTATTTTAACTGCTAGAACATTGCAGATTGTAGTGCATATTCACATTTCTATTACCTTTATATTTAGTTTTTTTAGAATACCATTTATGCTACAAATTAGTATAAATGTAAAATAAGTCATTTTCCACTCAGTAAATATATTTATTAAATCATACAAAGCATAAAAAGTGTGAATATACTTGTTTATTATACATCTTCCCGTAGGGGAAGATTTCAGGGGGATGCAGGGGTTACATCCTCCTCAATGTTTACATCATGCGCATTTGACCAAAGGTTTGCACCTTCAACTTGAACTGTAATACTCCAGGAAGTTAGAAACTCTGATTCCTTTGGGAGTTTTAAAGCTTTATGAGTTTATATCTCTAGTAATATTCAGATCAGTGTGTGTGATGATTGCTTTGAGTGAATGATTGTCTTTGTTATGACTTTGTGTTTATGTATTTTGTTTTTAAGTCTGGCTTGTAAAAGAGATCCTGACCTCATGGACTTGTTTGGTAAATGCTCATTTACCTAACAAATATATTTCATACATATAAACTTAACCAAATTCAAATTAGTCAGGTTATTTTTTTATTCTTTTTTTTTGTCAATGAGGTCCTTCCCCTAATACACTGAACAAAAATATAAACACACCATGTCAAATAGAAGAGTTTTATGAACATTTGGGTTACGCAATATATAGAGAAACTCAAAATATATTTTCAGTAATTACTGATCTTCATATCGGCATTGATAACATCGTGGTATGGCCATTTGTAGCAGATTGAAAGTCCTTTGAACATGACAGGAGTCAGGTTGAGGAATTAGATTTTTCACTATCTTGTGTATCCGCCAGCTGCGTCTCTCAGAGCAACACATCTTCTTCACATGGAGTTGATCAGATTGCCTATGGTGGCCTGTGGAATGTTATTCCATTCCTCCTGGAGTGCCACACGGAGCTGACCCACATTGCCTGGAACTGGAACACGGTCCTGGACACGCCTATCCAGAACATCCCAAAGATGCTCTATTGGGGACATGTCTGCCGAATATGCAGGCCAGTCCAGAACTTCAATGTCCTCTGTTTGAAGGAATTTCATGCAGATGCGGGCAACATGAGGTCGGGCATTGTCATGTTGAAAGGTGATGTCATGCTGGTGCACAAACGGCACAACAATTGGGGTGAGAATCTCGTCCTGATATCTTTGTGCATTAAGGTTCCCTTCAATGAAGTGCAATGGTGTTCTATGTCTGTATGTGATGCCTGACCACACCATAAATCCACCACCTCCATGGGCAACCCTGGGCATAACATTTGCATCTGCAAACCGTTCACCCACGCGTCGCCAGACACGCTGTCTTCCATCTGCACGATACAACTGGAACCCGGATTCATCCGTGAACATCACTCTTCTCCAGCGTGCCAAGGGCCATCGGACATGTGCATTCGCCCATGCGAGTTGGTTCCTACACCGGACAGCAGTGAGATCCAGACCACGGTGAGGGCGCCGAGCATGCAAGTTGGTTTCTCATAGGCGGTTACGAAAAGTCTGAGGTGTGATGCGTCTGTTGTGCAGACCAATAGTCTCATCAGCTGTGTGTGTCGCTGGTCTTAGCCGATCCCGCAGATGGAAGAGCCGGATGTGGTGATCTTGTGCTGGATGGTCACACGTGGCCGACGAGGATGAGGTCGATTTGCAGTAGTGCCAGTCTGTTGGAAACAAACTCTTAATCGGCCTATGGTCCAATAATGGACATTGAGCCGTGCAGCTACTGCTGTGGCGGACATCCCTGCATTCAACATGCCAATGGCACGCTCCCGCATAACTTGCGACATCTGAGGCATTATGACTTGTGACAAAATTTGACATTTTGGGGTGGCCTTTTATTGTCCCCAGTCCAAGGATTGTCCAGCTGTTGCTCATTTTGTCTGATCACCCACTGGACATGCCCCACCCATGGACTGAGTAGAAAAACACTGAGTAATGCTCACTGACAGCAAGTTGGATTAAAAATTATACACAAATCAAGAGAACCATTACTTTTGTATAATAAAATGTCAGCAAATGCTCATTTACAGTTGTTAACTCCACATGGCAACAGTATTTGACATGGGGCGTTTATATTTTTGTTCAGTGTAGATTAGTTAGGTAACTTTATATAATGTAAAATTTTGGAAGGTCTAAAACAATAAATTACTAAGGTAAGCTAGGAATTGATAAATATTGTAGAGTAGTAATGCAAATTTTAAAATTAGCCAGGTACATTTGGATAATACAAATACTGTACAGTTTTAAATATAATTAAATAAATCAGGAAAATGAATATAACAAATGATATTGTAAAATCTCAACCTTAATATTTAAATTAGTTACACACATTTATGTCTGACATGACATGTTAACCATAATTCAATAGAATAAATATAATAGTAATAAATCCAATAAAAATATTGCAGGGTCATGACCTTAAAATTTAAATAAGTCAAGTAAATGTATATAACCAGTAATATCGATGGCTCTTAAATGTAATATTTAAACTGGTCAGGTAAAGTTACATTTGATTTAATATTATAGGGTCCTAACCATATTTTATGAATTAGTTAGATAAATGTATATAACAAAAAATATCTAAATTAACAAGTAAATTCATATTTAATATTTTATTGTAGAGTCGTAACTATAATTTTTAAATTACATAAATAAATGTGTATTATAAATACTATTTTAGGCACTTAATGTTAGCATTAAAATCAGGTAAATGTACATTTTATAGTATATTGTGGGTTTTCACTTGATTTTTTTTTAACTTGTGAGGTCAATCATAACTCTGATTTTATTTGTCTACTGTAAAGAACTTGGCTGTCCGCCTGTTGTTTTAAATGTGTTGTCAAAATAGAAATAATAAATGATTCAACTTCTTCTGTTTCCTCAGTTTGTCTGCATCCAGCTTGATCCAAGGTCAACCTGTTGCGTCACACAGAAGAACATTCTCTTCTGCAGGACATGCAGGCGTCACCAATAACAAGCTGTTATTGTCATGTCTTCTTTCTTTTGTAGTAAACTGAGATAAGACATTTACCCAACAGTAGCTGTTTCCTTTTACCATATATGCACATATTGGAATATCCACACAAAAATATGCTTAAAAAAACACATTAAGAAAATAATTAAATCATATCAGACTGCAATTTAGTTATTATAAAACTCAATGTAAAACCCTGTAAAAATGCATCGTCCCCTATGACCCAATACTCTGTTACTTATTTATATTGATAGTAAAGTTGTCAATGTATTGATTCTGTCTAGCACAGACTTTGCAGAGGTCACTTTTTAGCACTTTCCAGATGTGATTGCCAACACACAGAAGACAAACACAGGATCATCAAACTGATTTTTCAGCCTGACGTGGACATTTAACACTAAATATCCCTGGTGTCAAAGGAACAAACTAATTTGTCACTATTTAATTAAACATATTCTCCAGGTTGATGACACTGAGGCGTGGAAGACAATTTGTCCATGATAGCTTTGACTGCAAATAATGTTGGAGCTCTGGAAAGAGAAGATGAGGAGGAGGAGGAGGAGGAAGAACTGAAGGGTTCAAGAAAGGAAACCAACACGACGCTTCACCTTTCACTCATAAACTGGCTGTCAGTCAATTTTTATATAAATTTTGGTGACACATGTTTTCTACTCTTGACTGGACTACACATTTTTGAGTGAGATCTCTTATAATGAGGTGTTTTCCTTCACAGTCGCCATCTAACAACCACCTAGTAACACTTTGGCAACACCTGAAACACCAGAGAAAACTCAAAGAACTGAAATGTGACTGAAACTGGCAGCATTGGACACATTTTTGTGCAACTAGCAGTCACTGTCACTTTCCTTTATTACAAACCAAGACCTGCATTGAACCTGTACCAAGACATTTTTATTGGATCATTTTATTACATTTCTGTCT